ATGATGATGGTGTTGATGATGATGGTGACGATGATGGTGGTTGCTGTGACGATGATTGTGATTGTGGTCATGATGCTGCTGATGACGATGATACGACTGATGCTGTTGCTGATGCTGATAATAATGCTGAAGCTGATGCCAATGATGAAATGATGATGATGAGGAGGAGGAGGAGAAGGAGGAGAAGGACGATGGTAATGATAGTGGTCATGATGATGGTGGTGATGGTGATGCTGCTGATGTTGCTCCTGATGCTGGTGACGATGATGATGCTGATGCTGATGATGATGCTGATGCTGACGCTGATGCTGATGCTGATGCTGATGCTGATGCTGATGCTGATGATGATGATGCTGGTGATGATGGTGGTGCTGCTGATGTTGCTGCTGATGGTAATGATGCTGTTATTAATGCTGTTGATGATGCTGATGCTGATGATGATGCTGATGCTGATGATGATGATGATGATGATGGTGATGATGGTTATGATGGTGATGCCGACGACGACGACGACGACGACGACGACGACGCGCCGTAGAGAGCGGGTTTGCTGTCTCATGTTCCTTCTCTCTTTTTGCTCTCTTTTTTTCTGTCTCTCTCTCTCTCTTTCTCTCTCCCCCCCCCTCAGCGCCTGCTTTCGGCGCCCTTGCGCTGGGAACCGCTCGAGGAGGAGGAGGCGCGGAGGGGACGAGGCGAGGCGAGGCGAGCGAGGAGCGGCCGGGAAGGGGGGCACATAGCAGCAGCGGGGGGAGGAGGCCGAGGAGCAGCAGCAGCAGCAGCAGCAGCAGCAGCAGCAGCAGCAGCAGCAGCAGCAGCAGCCCCAGGGAGGCTGGCCCCGAGACGAGGGGCACGCGGCGCGGGCGCGGCCGCCTCGTGACCGAGCGCCACGCCGCGCTCCTCCGCCGACGCGGCGGCGCGCGAGGCGGCGCCGGAGAGCCCGGAGGCCCTGCCCAGCGAGCCGCCTGCGGGTCTGGCTGCGCTCGGGCGCGGGAGCTGGGCCGCTCCCGCGCCTCCCCTCGGAGGGGGGCGAGCTGGGGACGACCGAAGGAGGTCCGCGCGTGGAGGGTGGAAAGAGAGGAGGGGCGAGGTGGAGGAGGAGGGGGGGGAGGAGGAGGAGGAGGAGGAGGAGGGCGAGAAGGAGGAAGAGGAGGAGGGGCGAGGAGGAGGAGGAGGAGGAGGCGGAGGGCAAGGAAAGGGAGGGCGAGGAAGAGGAGGGCGAGGAAGAGGAGGGCGAGGAGGAGGAGTTGAAGGCCGAGGAGGAAGAGGAGGAGAAGGAGGAGGAAAAGGAAGAGGAGGATAAGGATGTGGTGCATGTGGAAGGGGAGGAAGCACAGGAAGCACCGTCTGGGGGAGCAAAGGTACCGAGGCCGATATCGCCACTCACAGACTTCTCCTGGGACGCGTTCTGACTAGGATTTCGAGGCGACTCCAGCAGTGGCGGCGCGAGCGGTATCGGCACTTTTTCCTCCTCTCAGAGTTGGCGCGTTGCGAAGGGCGGTGAAAAAACCCGACCTTGGATGGGGGGGCCGCGTTGGGGCGACGCAAAGGCCCGCGGCGGGCGTGGGACCTTTGGACGCCGATGCTGAGACCAAGGCTAACGGTAGTTGGCCTTCGGGGGCCCCCTTGTCGCCACGAGCTGGACGCAGCTCGAGAAACCTGTTCATTTGGACCCCTGGAGTGGCCGTCTCAAACCGCACCCGAGTCCTGGACCCTGGGGCCTTCCCCCGGGACCAGCTCTTCATCCCGAACCGATTCATGCCTAGTTGCTTTACCACGGCAGCAGGAGGAGATCTCTGTCTAGCCCTCCTGGCTTCCCTAAGCCCCCCAGCTTCGCGGCAACGGAACCCCTTCGAGCCCAAACTCCCCCTGAAGCTGCCTATCCTAATGGGCGGCGGGCGGGTCGCGCAGCGAGGGCCAGTATGACCCACGTGATGTGCTTGTGCGAAAGTGGAACGGAAGGAACATGAGAGGAAGGGCATGAACGCGGGCGGGGACTTTTTTTGCTACCACGAAACGCTCCTGGGTTTGTCTGGCAGGCTGCCGAGGAACCCTCATAGAGGAACCCCCGCCTTTCGCTTCCCTCGCAGCAAGCGGAACTCCTTCGGCCCTTTTACTGGCGACGCGGGCCGAGCTGCGCTTGGCGACTTGCCCAAACCAGTCGGCGGGGCGGCCTCTGTGGCCACGATTGCATGCGACGCAGCCGGTGGAGCGCCCACCGCTGCCATCGACGCGGACAGGAAGTGTTGTCGCGAAACCTCTGGCGGCGCTGCAGCATACACAGCATGTATCACGGACGAGGACTACCACCCGCCTAGGTTTTGCACGGCCCCAGGCGGCGCCTTGGCCACGTGCAACCTCCATTGCGTACCGCCTTTGCGGAACGAATGCGTGTTCGTTGCTTTGTCTTTGAAAAAACATAATGGGAATTCGCCGGCCCAACGGGCCAGAGGCGTGCTAAGATCTCTGGTAACTGGTTCACAATTCTTCTAGTTCGGGCGCGCGGGGCGGCCCCTGGGGGTCCCCCGGCGAAAAATACCCCGACCGCAGCCTGGGAAGGTCCCAGGAAGGTCTACTCAGATATGGTTTTCCTCCTGGGTACGGCCTCTCAGGCCCCCCAGAGCGCGCCAAGAGGGCCCCAAGAGGCCCCCAAGACTGCCCAAGAGGCCCCCGAGACGCCCAAAGGACGCTCCAAGACGCCGAAGATGATCCCAAGACGGCCCAAGAAGCCGCCAAGACGCTCCAAGTGGCCTCCAAGAGGCCTCACAAAAGCGCCCCGAGAGGCCAAAATCATCAATTGCACATGGTTTTGGAAGGATTTTGGCCTTGTCGCATTTTCGGCTTTCCGATGCTCCAAGACGGCCCAAGAGGCCCCCAAGAGCGCACGAAGACGGCTCAAGAGGCCCCCAAGAAGGCCCCCAGAGAGCCCAAACGGGCCCCGAGACGGCCCAAGAGACGCCCAAGACGGCCCAAGAGAACCCCAAGACGGCCCCAAGAGGGGCCCAAGATGGGGACCACGAACCGAAACCTCAAGCCTTCCGCCCCAAGAGGGCCCCAGGAGGCTCCGAGAGGCCCCCAAGATGGCCCAAGATGCCGCCAAGAGGCCCCCAAGAGACCCCAGGAGGCTCCAAGGAGGCTCAAAAGAGGCCCTACAAGGCTTCAAAAATGTCTCCCAGGCGCCCCCGAACGGCCTCTTAACAGACCCCAGGGCCTTCCAAAGAAGCATCTGGACGACGGCTCTCTTTGGCCCCAAGAGCGCCGCAAGACGCCCCCTGGAAACGAATCCCAAGAGGCTCCAAGAGGCCACGAACGCGCAGGCAAACGCCTCCGACGGCATAATACGGGCCGGCGGAATGAGCGAAGCGATTCAATAACAACAACCGAAACACACACACAGACAAAAAAAAGTGAGGAAGCACTTTCCTCCATAAATCGGGACTCGCTGCCTTGTGCGATGCGCCTGTTGCGGTACAGAAGAAACAGGGGAAGGGCCGATAGCTTTTCTCTTTTGAGATTCCACCAACTCTCCATCAGATGGGCAGGACTGACGCCTGCGAGCTCACAATTCGGGATCACGCACGTTTGCCCTCTGCCTTCCCAGTCATTCTCTGGCGCCGGATGAAGCACCGGGCGCATTCGAAGTCAAACTTGACGACTGCGGCAAGGAGGACAGAAGCTTCAGAGACTCTCCGAAAGCCGAGAAAGCAGAACGCTGCGAACGAGGCGTCCTGGGCCTCCGCAACAGTGCCTGCGGCGAGGCGGACTTGGATGAAAGAAGTAAGTTCGTCCATTGAAGGTGTTTTCTTTTGGTGGCTGTGGTGTCTGGCTCTTCTTTTGCAACCCCTCCAAATGTGATACGCACGTTGGTCCCAATAAGAATCGAACACGCATTCGAGACCCAGGCACATACGCCAGGCACGAACTACGGCCTTGTTGGGCTGAATTGTAGACCAAATCGCTCCCTCCATTCCGATGAACAAAAGAATGTATGTATCCACCGACTCTACTGGAAGCAGAGTTGCGTCAACTGTGTGTTCCAGACCGTGGACGTGGAGCCATACAGCATTCGCGTGACCCCTTACTCCGTGCTGGAGACGTGCCTCGGGAAGTGAGGACCGAACGAGTACGTGGCCCAGCCGCAGTTGGGCGGGAGGGCGGAGACGTGACGAACTCACACATTGTGGCGCGGGCCCCGCAGTTGGGCGGGAGGGCGGGGAAACGAAGCGCAAGTACTGTTTGGTGAAGGCCAAGCATATCAGCAGCGCGGGGACGTAACGCCCCGAGCCCGACACAGCCCCCGAGCATCTGTCGGGATGCACGGGAGTGGGCCGCTTGCGCAAAGGAAGTGGCTCGGTCCCAGATGAAAAGTGCGGCGCGGACATCAGTTGGGATGCCAGCCGTCTCCCTCTCTCTCTCTCGTTCTCTATGTTTTCCAACATTTCTCTCTCTCTTTCTCTCTCATTCTCTCTCTCTCTCTCTCTACCCTGCGCTGTCATTTCCCCTCGTGCTCATGCCGGACCTCTGCTGTTCTGCTCCCAGAAGCAGGGCAAAGGCGATGAGATCACTCACCGTACAGCCCGCACGCGCGGACCACCAGGCCAATGGCACGTGCACTCCTCCTGAAGCGGCTGGCGCAGTCAGGCGTCAGATCGACACTTGTCCCAATGGGTTCGTCCTCTTCCTAAGTAGGTCATTTCTGACAGCTTCGGCGCCCTGGCCTTATTGGGAGACAAAACGCAGAAGGGACGGGGCCGCCATGCGAACATCGCCACTGGGGCCTCTGGTGGAGCTGCCCTATGGGGCCACGAAACGCGTGAGTGGTGTGCCGAAACGAACGGGACGACCGCATGCGAACATCGCCACTGAGGCCTTAGGTGGAGCCCCCTGTGGGGCCACGAAGCGTGTGGTGGGTGTCGGAATGGGGCGAGGCCGCCATGCGGGCGCTGCCACTGGGGCCCTGGAGGAGCCCCCTTGGGGCTACCAAACGTGTCAGGGATGTGCCGACATGGGGCTGGGCCGCCATGCGGGCGTCGCCACTGGGGCCTCTAGTGGAGCCCATTTTTATGGGGCCGCGAAACGCGTGAGTGGTGTGCCGAAATGGGCGGGGCGGGCACATGCGAACATGGTCACTGTGGCCTCAGGTGAAGCTCCCTGCGGGGCCATAAAACGCGTGAGGGGTGTGTTTCATCAAAACGAGGAACCTACACCACAGGATGGCTGGGGGGCAAAAATGCCGTCAGACATCTGGTCTTGACGCCCACCGCTCGGAGGCGTCATGGGACTTCTGGCGGCCCCAGGATTTGTGCCGCGCGGGTTTCGGAAGGGTTCGGGTTGCTGCTGATGGCTATTTAGAGGTCCTGGAAGGAGTGGCAAGGCCCATGCTTAGGTCGGGCATGCCCTCCTACAGGCGGATGTTAGACCAGAGATGAACAAGTGGTCAAAACACCGTCGAAGAAGCAAAGGAAAACTGAAAAAAAACGTCCCCAGATCAGTTGTTGGCTATGCTTGCAGATGCCTCCTGCAGAGGGGTACGCCCAACGTAGAGCCCGTGCTGACGGTTCCTCTGGCCTTCAGACTTGGCGCCCACCGCTCCGAGGCCTCGCGGGATCCTCGAGGGGCTCTGGACGGCTCCGACGCACGAGCGTCACGGGGGCGCTGCACATGGCTGACGACGGCGTGTTGGACGTCGCGGAAGTCTGGGGAGGAGCTCGATCGTGTTTGGGGGGGGGTCGAGCGGGCCTTGGAACGCCATCGAAGACCTTCAAGGGCTGACCTGAGGTGGCCACAGGAGGTGCAGGGTGCGGCAAGCGGTCTCACTTTACGGTCGCCCCCCCTCGTTCTCATCCCTATGAGAACCAGAAACAGCATCCGCATCATGACAATCGCCATCATCATCAAATCATGAGCACCAACATCATCAGCATCATCATCATCAGCATCATCAGCATCAGCATCATCATCATCCGCATCATCATCATCATCATCATCATCAGCATCATCATCATCAGCATCATCATCACCACCACCATCATCATCACATCACCATCATCAGCAGCATCAGCATCATCATCACCGTCATCATCATCACCACTACCACCATCAGAATCATCAGCTGCATCAGCATCAGCATCAGCATCAGCATCAGCATCAGCATCAGCATCAGCATCAGCTTCATCATCAGCATCATTAGTATCATCAGCAGCAGCATCATGATCATCAGCAGCATCACCATCACCATCACCATCATCATCATCAGCATCAGCATCATCATCATCATCATCATCATCATCATCATCATCATCATCATCATCACCAGTAGCAGCATCATCAGCATCATCATCAAACATATCATCATCACCAGCATTATCAGCAGCAGCATCACCACCATCATCATCATCATCATCATCATCAGCATCATCATCGCTATCACCAGCATCGCCATGAGCATCAGCATCATCATCCGCATCATCATCGTCATCATCAGTATCGTTATCATCAGCATCATCGTCAGCATCATCAGCAGCATCAGCATCGTACCAGCAACCATCAGCATTGTCACCGACCATCACCAGCAGCATCATCATCCTAATCGCCGTCAGCATCACAGCATGTTCATTTATCATCACCATCATCATCATCAGCAGCAGCATCAGCATCATCACCATCATCATTCTCGTAATCATCATGATCATCGTGATCATCATCACTGTGCTCCTCCTCTGGTTCCTCGTCGGTAACGTGCCGAGGCGCAGTCAACTAAGAAAACAAGCAGGTGACTAGTCCGACTCCTACAACCGGCTGGATTAAAAAGTTGGGACGGCGGGGTTCGAGAGAGAGAGAGACGCTGTTGGCGACCCGTTAGGCCATGGGGCCCAGGACAATGTTGGATTTGATGCCGATTTGGGAGTTTCAGACGCATACCTCACCCCCTTTAATATTATAAAGGCCAAATGGGGCCGGCGTCTGAAAGTGGCATTCCGCCTAGGACTTCCTCAAAAAAGTTTCAGATCGCCTTCCAGGGCGATCTGAAATTCTCCCATGCCGTCTGAAGTGGCGATTTCGCCTAGGACTTCCTCACAAAAGTTTCAGATCGATGTTCATGCCGCCTGAGCGTGATCGTTTCGCTTAAGACGTCTTCAAACAGCACTTTCAGGTTGCCTTCCATGCCGCCAGAAGACAAAGATTTCGTGTGCGATGATTTCCATAACTTTGTGCTGCAGAGCTCCACGCCCTGCGGAGCCGTTCCGTCATTCGATTCACGGGCCTGCCTTGGAGTCATCTCGGGGTTGATCGATGGTGGAGGCTCGAGGGCCAGTCGACCGGCGAAACCCGCGGGGATCGCTCTCTCGCATAGTGCCGGTCACAACTTTTTGATCCAGAGGGTGGTAGATTGCCGCGATAACGCGATAACGCAATGGCGTCGCAGCAATGCTCTATCACACGTGCAACGGCTAGTAGCAAGCGTTTTACAATGACGCGTTATTCTGGCGTCGACCTGGTACT